ACCCATTATTTGCGTATGATAGATTTCTTGCTGGTATTCGGCATCTGATTGGTTGCTTCTGCACTACAGCAATCTTCTCCAATCCCTTTATATTTTTAGGTGGCATGCTTATGCTCTAAATGTCAGCATTTTTGTTGCCAAGGTTATTTCTTACTCGTTTTTTTACCATTCTAATAAGCACCATTTTGAGTTCCTTCAATTGCATTTACAATTGATTATTTGAGTTAGTTTTGTGTATTGTTATTCATTGTTTATATAGCTCTGCGATTATCTAACTTTTTAATAAGTCGAAGATATTCAGCAGCTACAATAATGGCCCTTGCTGCATAGTGTTCTCTTCCAGTGTGTCATGTATAGGAAAGCTTGCAGGTGCTCATATGCGCCCATAATCACTTTCTTATTAATATGTCTCCTCCCCCAGACCGATCATCGTAGTCTACATGAAACCAACAACATTGAAACACGCCACTTGAATCAATTGGAGCCAGTAAAGCAGAATGTCCCACCGCCAAATTTGAACCCTGTTGAACTACCGCCTGCTGTGAACAATGTAGAGGAGACGGCCTCCACGACCAAAAATCACGGCCTCATCGGTCTAGCTCTCACCATGGGCTTCGTGCTCATGTTCCTGGTGGATCATTTGGGCAACGAGGCCTTTGCCCGCCCTCTTTTCTCTGTTTTCCACTGCTTCTGTTGCCAGAGGCGAACTAACGATTTACTTTTACGTAAGCTTTTACGCCTCCCCTAATGCAAACTAATTGTTTTACGTAGTAACCTTTTGAACCCTAAGAACCAGCTTCTTAGCCCCTAGAGCTGTCATTCACTCATGCTTGGAGGGAGTTTCATATTGATAAGGCGGTACGATCGAAATTTGTTCTGAGTGTTTGACCTGAGATCTGTTTCTTTGGTGATATCTCTCCTGACGGGTAGTGGCAAGCACAAATTAATAGCTGGCTTGAAAACGGTCTAATCCTACGTTCCGACGATGATAGGTGGCCGTAGCCATGTGTAATAGAGCCCATTAGATATAAGCGTCCACAGTTAAATATGCATTTAAATGGGTGCTTTTACTATGCAGCCACTACCTCGGACGGAGAGGGAGGGGGATCTTCGTCCCCCTTAATTTCCACGCCCTCAGCTTCGGCGGCTGCTTTAGCGGCGGCAGAGCACAGCGCCTCAACTACTACAATGGGTTTAGTGGTGCACTCTCTTGCGGACGGACTGGCCATTGGTGCCGCCTTTGGACTCACTCTTGACCTCACTCTCATCCTCTTCGTCGCCATCATGCTACACAAGGCAAGCCGACTCCTTTCTTCACTTTTCCTCTAATGTCCCATTTGCAAATCTGGAAGTTACATTTTCATAACTCTTTAAATTCGCAAACGAAATACTTGATTCTTTCAGCACTAGAATTTGAGCATGTGAAATTTTGGCGGCGGTTAATTCATTGCTCCACTGGTGGGTTTGTTTGAAGTCTATAAACTAGTGAAGTAACACATTCCTAGGCTTTGTTTCGATTAACACTCCATCGCATTCGCCAACTTGATCTCATGGTATTAATTCGGGTTTTGTACACCTCGGACTCAAACGGCCGTAACTGAGATAGGGGTGTGTAGGATCTAATTTTCTCATTCTAAGTTGAAACAAAGCTGATTTCCATTCACACATTCGTGTCGATCTCCCCACCTTCAAATGCCTCAGGTTCACCACCATTGGGTGAGGGGAGGCGAAAGAGGATGGGAGAGATGGTCAAACGCTAATCTGCTAAGTTGGCTTTCAGGCGCCAGCGGCGTTTGGCTTTGTGTCCTTCCTGGTTCATGAGGGTCTGCCTCGAAATCGAGTAAAGGTGTACCTCCTAATATTTGCCCTTGCCTCACCTGTGGGCGCCCTTCTCACCTATCTGGTCGTCAGCGCTAACGCCTACGTTGCTGATCAGCAGGCAGGTTTCTTTCTTCCATCGACCTGGTTTTTTAATTACTTTCTGCTGAATTTTAATTTTATGTTTTGGAACTAATGCCATCAAATTTACTATTTTTTGGAGATCTAGTACAAAATATTGGACGATTTCTGCTACCAAGTGGATCATTGCGTGTATGCACGCCTAGTTAAAATCATAATGGAAATGAACGGCGTAACCCTATAATATGGTGCTTGAAGAATCATCCAATTTTCAGTAACGTTTGCAGCGTACAAAGATTGTTGGCATTGATCGTGCCAACAAAACACTGTGCTAAAGGTAAGAAGACGAGGTACTGATGTGCAGTCATGCAATTTTCCTTTTCATCGCGATGCCAGTCTATCCAATAGTGACTTTACAGGTGTGACTGATAAACCGACTCCCCTCCCTTCTACTTCTATTAAATTGTACCGTGTTTACAATCTGCTCATCCCAACAACGTCCACCGGGACATTTTATACTCTCAACGAGTCAAGTCTACACCTTACAAGCCTTTGAGAAGTGATGAGTTGGCACACGATACCATTGATTTAACCTTATCTCTCAAGGCTCTATCAATGGGGGTAGCCAGCACCTCTTCCACTGGTACAGGGTTTGCACTGTTGCTATCTGGCGGCACTTTTCTCTACGTTGCCACCGCGCACATTTTGCCCCATCTGCACACGGAGAAACCCATTTCCTCAAGCCCTCTCAATGGGAATACGCACCACCGCCATCAGAGTATCACCACTTTCAAACCCATCGAGTCGATCGCCTTTGTCTTCGGCAGCTGCGTGCCTGTCCTCATCTCCTTCGGCCACTCACATTAATAAGCACCTACCCATTCAATGTCCCTCTACAGGTGGCACTGTGATAGATGCTCCTAGCCACATTATATTCTATTTGGGTATGTACATTTCCCTCAAATACATCTTTTTTCTTTAGTCTACTTTTTGTACATGTTCTTAACCTTTTGCAAAAATGCAAACACTTCATATCGAAATAACACATTTGTTCGAGAAATATGATAAAACAGATGTCGTCTTCTGAGAGGTCGGGAAAGTTTCTTCTTGGCTTACGTAAGGAAACCTTTCAGGAGACCGGTTCGATCATTAGTCTTCTGATATACTCCTGTGGCGGCCTAGTGGCCAGTCGGTCACTGCTTTGTTATTCTTGTCCATAAATCGTTTGCGTAAATTGTCTGTGAGTCCTAATGGATATCACAACTTGAAACTAATCCTCACATGGAGCGATGAAAGGTAAAGCACGTGACTAAGTGAGAAGTTACGGGTTCCAGTAAATGAACATACCTTTTTCTGATTCTGTCAACAGATTGTCGGCGTTCGCAACTCAAACGGCATGAATATGATATGGCATAAGGTAAACAATTTATCACATATGTCCTCTTTAATACGACGAATATGTATACCTCATCTATCTAAACCTAACAACGGCCCCAATGGGCTCCCTGTCTCAGGCGGCGAAACCGCTTCCACCAAGACAACAGTATGCTCTTGCAATGAAAAGGAAATAATATTTTCGATGGGTGGGAGTGCTATGTAAGCCATGATTCAGTGGTCGAGTATGAAAGTTTACCCAAGTAGGGTTTCCAGTCGCGCTGGCGTTGATCTTTGAGAGAAAAGAGCCGCACGACTACAAAGTGGTCTGCCTCGGAACCCAAATTGTTCTTCTTGAAATCCTCCACGCAAATGCTCAGGTTACGGTCACCAAGATTTAATCGTTTTGTCGCTTCTGTCACCCACTCGAGTGCTCTTCCTTTGGCCTAGAGTACATACCAATGTAAACACAAAAAGCATTCACGATCTGTTCGCTCAATTTACTTCCTGTGCTTGCAAAGTTCAAGTCTTGTAAAGTTGATGTTAGCGACAATTTTAACGATATGAACGTACCTCCGGATGGTAGAAAACAGCCAATCCTCTTTTATAGAGAATGACCGGCATCTTGGGTGCTAGATGCAGAATGGATGGGGCCAGCTGAAAAAAAAAAAGCTAAATGAGCCACATGGACGTCTCGACAAAACAGCATCCGCATTTTAAAAATAAAATTTGACTAATTTGGATGTTGCAAGGTAAAGTAATTGAACGTTCTGATTTAATTGATGATGACTAACGTGGAAATGGCACCTTATCAAAGTTATTGATATTGAAGGTTGCAACAAGAGGAGTCTTTGCATCAGTTTGGCGTTCTTTGAAAAGGCGCTCGAGTTGTGCGACTATTAGG